TTGTCTCCTCTATTCCTACAACTTTAAGCCACATAGCATCAATCAGCAAAAATACAAGTGTTGCATTATTTTTCTGACAGGGAGATTTACTGAAACGCTATAGAAATGTTACGATCAAAACTTCACGTTACCAAAGCAACCTGATATAACATTGCTAACGTCACATATGGTCACTATAGTGACTGTATAGTCACCAACTAATGCTAGCCCTACCTTGTGTGGGACTGGATCATCTGCTGAGGCCCCCTCCAACTGAAATTACTTCTATAACTCTGTGATTCCTTAAAACCAGGTTCTACTCACAAGTGAAACATTTGAGCACTCCACAATAAGTTATTGTTAACGCTGTTCCCTATGGGGAACTGTCTTCCCTATGAAGACCATCCAAAATCATCTTTAAGGAAGAAAAAAAGAAACTCCAAAACTGTTCACTATTGACTACACTGAAGCTATAATTACATAAAATCCAACTCTTTAGTACCACATGTCTTTTACATAAAATACCTTTAATCAGTTTCCTTAAAGTACATACTTCCCTAGCACTGGAGGCCAATGCTGCCAGGCCAGGCTGGACACAGGATTTCTAGCAAGATCCCCCCACCTGAATTTGCCTTCTTTATGTGTTAGAGATGATCAGGTGGCAGCTGTATCTGTAGCAGCTGCAGTCTTTGCACACCAGAAACCCATTAAAATCAAGGTAAATGAAGGCAAATACATGATCCTAGAGAACCATATGTATACTGCAAGCTTGTTAAGTCTCAGTCTTGCAAACACCTACACACAAGAAAGCACCAAGTACCTGGGCAGTTTGTTAGCAAGAACAGTTGCTACACAAGGGAATGAGGACGACACAGGTGCAGGAAGTCAGTGGAGATATCTGCAGCACCAGAGCAAACTCCTCTGTGCCGTGGGAGCATCAGCCTGGCTCCACAGCGCTGGGAGCTGCCCGGATCCCGGCAAACGAGCAACGTGGATGAAGCAGAGTTCGCGCAGCGCACATGGCTAGGCTGGGTGCTCTGGGCAAGGCTGGGCTCTCTGCAGAGCTACACAGGTTCAGAGGCACATGTAAGGCCAAACTTCTCCCACCTGAGGCTAGTCAAGCCCAGGCACCTGCACAGGCTGGGCTGCCTCTGCCCTGGGGTGTTTTCCAGACCAGCCTGGATAAGATCCTGGGCAACCTCCTCTGCGCAGCCTCCTCCATCCTTGCAGGCAATCCCGCCCTGAGCAGAGCACAGCCCTGCAGAGCCCCTGCCTGCCCGAACCACCCCCGAGGCTCCCTCAGTCACTGCCCCTTGGGAAGGCGCCCGTGGCACTTGTTATCTCTAGCCTGGTCACGTAATGCTGCGGGCACTGCGTTAAAACGAGCAGGTCAGTCAGAGGTCGGGCTCCTGCCGCGGCATTGCGGGCGCTTTGCAGGCCCAGCCCTGCCCCTCCGCGACACCCAGCCCCCATGGTGGCATTTCAGGAGCTGTCACAGGCGACTGGCTGTTCCAGAGGCTGCGCAGGGAGTCTGATCCCTGTTTACTCAAGGTGTCATAGCAAAGTCCGAGGAACAACACCAGCAGGAAACCTGGGGCACACCTCGGGGGCCCCAGAGGACCCCCCCTGGACCCTGCTTTTCCAGCCAAACTTCCTCCTCGCTCGTGTGCCTTTGCCGGGCAAAGGGAGGGCGCATCTCGGCTGGGATGCGAAGTTGGACGGAGCTAAAGGCGGGAGCGGGTCTGGAACCGCTGCCGGGCCCGGCCGGCGGTGCCGACGGCGGCGCCCGCGGCCGCTCCGCGCGCGACCTGCTCGTGGCCGAGCGCTCCCGCGACGGCGACTTCTGCTCCGGGGGACAGCGGCGCGCTCAGCGCGGGGCCGGGGGCGGCCCCCGTCGCTTCCCGTGCCGTGCGGAGCCGTGCCATGCCGTCCTGCGGCCCTCACCAGCGCCATGCGGGCGGCGGGGCCGGCGGCCGCGCTCCGCTCCGCCCTGCGCGCCCAGGGTCCTGCGGGACACCGCGGATCGGGGGGCGTGGGGGGTGCAGCCCCCCAGCACCTCCCTGTGCCCCCTATAGCCCTCCGGCCCCCTTACCGCACCGCAGCACCCCAGGACACCCCTGGACACCCCTGCGCCCTGCAGTGGCCCCTACAGTCCCAGGGCACCCCAACATCTTGCAGCAGCCCCAGTGCAGCCCAAAAAACACCTCAGGGTATGCAGTACCCCCCGAACACCCCAGGACCCTCCAGCACCCCCAGCACCCCCCAGCACTGCCTGGACACCCTCAAAGCCCCCTAAACAACCCAGCACCCTCCAGCGCCCCAGTACCCCCCGGCACTGCCCGAACACCCCCGAACTCCC